TAACTAAGTTGCATAAAGTCATGAAGTTTAATTTCTTTAATCGGTAATCATGGAATTCCGAACATAAATTGAATAGAAGACTGAGGCCACACATGCTTTTTGTGATGAATAACGCAGAGAATTTCTATACAAACTCAAGTTGCCAATTTACTGAACACCAAATGAAATTACTTTCGATTTTCCACATTAAATTTTATCTAAGATGCTGGTTGCAAAGCAATTGTGGATTGGCCTTACCCGAAACCGGAAAAAGTTGAGTTGTTCAATTTACCCTATTTTGCGGTTTAATTTCCCAATATCAGATAAATAGGACTCAAGTTATTTCACTTAGCCGTACTTCCCAAAAGGTATTCCTATCCAGATTGGACTGGGCTGTAGTCTCAACATTGTCTAGGTCTCCTCAGCACCTCCAGGCGAGGTTGAAACTACAGTCCATCCTGGGTGAGAATAACTTTTGAGAAACAAGACCAAGTTAAACTCAACGGAAGTGTGGGACCTGTTTATAGGATTGTGGACTCATCATCCCCCTATGCGGCCTATGGTGAATGGACTATCATTCATGACTTACTTTAAACGAATGAACATTGTCTTGTCATTTACTTCTTCGGCTTGATGAATACAAAAATGACAATCAAAATCAAAGAATTCGTTGCAAGAACTTTAACAAACACTAAACCAAGTATGGCGACCAACTGCGATCCCTTCTGTCCCTTGTAGCCTAACTTACTCCATTTGTTGAGACACCTTAAAATTTGGCCTGTTATTTTATGCTTCCCATTCTGTAAACGGACACACATCTAAGCAACTAGCATAATGTTGCTTATTCATGCAAATCTCGGAGCTAAAGATTCGAGTTCAGAGGGGCCAGATTTTAAATAGAAGTTCCATATTCCGATTGAATCAACCTTTCTGGAGTTGTACAAACTGTGAGGTAACCTATCTTATGCCTATAGCTTGAATCTTATTGTGCCAAAAGGACGACGAAGAGATTGATACAGAGTATGCTTTCGAATGCGAATAATTGGTACTCATATCGTAACGTCGGATCGTCTGGTGTCAATATAATCGTATATGTATTGGTAGCAATATAGCGATTTTTGCAAAGGAAGATGGAAATACGTGTGAAACAAACCGCCATTTCCTTGTATCCCATCCATCATTCTAACTAAGGCTCATGCTAAGTACTAGTTAATTTTAGAAGACAAACAACTTTCGGATATAATATATTTACTCAAAATACACGCCAGAGATTTTGTCGGTATGCGTATCACCTGGAGATCTGTTTGGACAACTTGTCCTCTGATAGTGAAAGTTTTTTATCTGAAGTCGAAGATCTTTAACATTTATTGAGAGTGGGTTAAGGAAAAAAAGAGTCAGCCAACCATATGGCTTTTAAGTTTTTAAGCGATTGTGGATAAAGAGAAAATGTAGGAGAAACGTCAAGTTAGCAATCACACACATTGGAGCAGGATGCCAACGCTTGGTTCTCTTGAGCTTATGCTACCAAGTAAGGATTGCTTTGATCCCATCTAACCGCAGGCATAGTTCCGTGTTGTCTCGGCTGCTCGAGGAACTTGCAAATTGGTTTCCATTATGTTAAAAAACAGCTCAGCCCTTTCATGTTACTACAAGTTCACCATCAGTCCTGAAGACTGTGCAACACATGCGAGAGATCCTATTATAAGTTATTCCGTTTACTTTACTAAATGAGATGTATTCACCCCATTTCGTTTAAGATAATAAGAGGACTGGTATACCTTACATTTACGTGTGATTTCACATAGCTTGGTTCCCCAAAAGGCATTCAAATCCAGGCAGAAGTGGACTGCAGTTTCGAGCTCGCATACGTGTAATCAACGCCCTAAGCGGGACTCGAACCATGACATTGCAGCGTATAATATCGTCAAGTTAATAACAAAACCACAGTGCCACGAATGCCTTTGGTTCGTAGGGCATAGGAAAGCCCGGTATTCTCCAATAACACATTCTGTGAAAGGATTGTAGATGAAGATCATATATATGATCTACTGGTATACTCGAAAAACTACTTAGAAACGGAAAATTGGTAATGTAGTCAATTGCTATAGCAAATACAACGGTGCTTCATCGACGATCCCACCACAGAATTTAATATGGGAAAATGCCTGATCTTCCTTGAAATTCGCACCTACACCGTGACCCAAGAGCACTCGTGGCAATCTGGCGTAGTGGTTAACCTGTCGAGATGATCCATAGTTCGAGTCCCGCAATGGGTCGAAACTGCAGTCCACCCCAGCCCTGAAAAGAATACCTTTTGGTAAGACCAGGCAATGTGAAATTCACTGGGAACGTAAGATCTACTTATATTAGATGATGGGAAAATTTAACTACTAGTCTCCTTATGCCTTAAACGAAATATGGTGAATAAACCCTATAAATATGATTTACTGGTAGTTTCGAAAACCTATTTATGAACGTTTACTTTTCTATCCTACATTCTCGATGTTGTATGTTAGCCTTCAAGCCTTCAAACCACATTATTATAACTCTTGGAGAAAATGAGATGTAAATATAGAATTTCATTTCTATTTTAGCCAGTGAGTCCCAGGATCACAAAAAGTTCCCAATATGTAATAAGTCATTAAGGGGTCTGTAGTATTTGCCTAACTTCATTGAAGAAAGAGTGGACATAGAAGTTGTATACCTTGTTTTCGCAACTTGGTCATATTGGTAGGAAGACTTATAGGAACTCACCTTGTCCTGAGTCCATTTTATGCATAATTATTTCCAAAGTCGGACCGTGGACGCGGTACATTCCCGAACGTTTCGCCGGCATCGTCAGTGAGTCTCGCCATTCGTAGCACCATATTACAACTCGTCAAATGTACAAGTGAAGCCCATCCTTTGACCAAACGTGTGCTAAACTGTTGTGGTATCTCCCATTCTGCCCTGGTCTATTCACATTTCCTATATCCTCCTATCATGCCTTTCCTGTCACAGTTTTTACCGTGTTTATTCCTAATGTAGTGTTGTGTGCCTCTTCGAGCGGCATTCATGAAAACCCTTCACACTCCACCCTGTCGTTATCACCCCCTTCC